GCTTACATTGTATTATGTAGTACAGTTTTATAGGCGCTGGGGATTCCCCCCACCCCTCCCATACCCCTCCCCCCATGGTGGATTCCTCCACCTTGTTACATAACCATAGTTCAAGTTCAGTTGAGATTCATTGCTTGCAAACACATGCCTAGCATAAAGTTCAGCGTCTTATTGTCCAGATAAGTCCAGTGGCCTCTTGGGGAGACCTTCTATGGTCTGAAGATAGGTCTAACAGAGTAAAGATCCGGTCAGTTAAAAGCCCCAACAAGGCCTCAGTATCAATATACAACATTATGGAATTAATTGACATAGTATTGGGTAAGCAATATGTTAAAAATAATGCAAGTTCCCTTCTTCGAAACATCTGGGTTGAGACAGTATCAATGACAGGTTCAAAAAATAACAAACAACCAAACAAAAAATTACAGGTTAAATCAAGGCAAACATGTGGTATCTAATCTTTTGGGATTCGCTCATTTCCCTTAGCATTATAGTTTCCAGTTGTGCCTTTTGGAAATTTTAAAGTCTGCTCCAAGGGCTGAAAGGCTATTGTGAGACTAGTTTCAGTAAATTCTTGTTTAAATATGAGTAAGAAAGCACATGGTTTCAGTGCATTATGTAGAATTAATAGTGTTATTTCTACACAAAGTTTATTTAAAAGTAAGTGCAACACTTGCTTAATTTGCTAATATTTCTCTTGATGTTGCTGCCATATTAACAAAAAAATCATTAGATGTGATAGACAAGAAGTCCCTAGAGAAACTCCCCCAAAAGCCAAGAAATACTTTGGTAATATTGGCAGATAAAAGCCATCTTGCTAATACTCCTCTGATTTCAGAAACAATCCTTAGATCTTCTAGGATTACATGTAAACTTTGGAGTTAATGTGAATCGAGTAGGAAGTGTGTCTCATAATTCAGAAAGCACACACTAGGACCTAGCTATAGTGCTCTGGCTCACATGCAATTAAACACAGGAGCCTAGCAACATATCTGGCACAAATAGATAGTAAATACTTGTTGATTATTGTGAAACAGGAAGCTGTGTGGCAGAGCTGGCATCTCACAATGGAGTGCTGGTTCAAGTGCTAGCTGCTCTGCTTGCTAGCCAATCTCCTGATAATGTACCTGGGAAAGCAATGCATATGGCACAATTCTTTGGGTCCCTGACACATGCACTAGAAAACTGAATGGAGTTTCTTGCTTCTTGGCTTCAGCCTGTTGTGGCTATTTGAGGAGTCAATGAATAGAAGATTCTCTCAAATTCTCTTTCACTTTTCTTGTCTGCTCCCATTCCTCTGCCTCACAAATAAACATTTTAGAGAATTTTTTTGACAGGTGAATGAATGGCCTTCTCTGGAATTGCCTAAAGTGTACACACACATTTAAGTAATACTACCAAAGTGGTTCTTATTCTATACTCTAAACAACTTAATTCAGATCAATAAGGAGCATCCCCCAGGTCTAATTCAATATCATGCTGCCCTGTTTAAAAGACACCACTGCTGGAGGAAACAGATGTCTCACTTTACCACTTGATAAAGTTTCAGTTTTGTGAAATCAACTGTAGATTTGTGAGAAAAGCCAAGTGCTTTTGTGGGCTTTGCTCCATTGATACCATCCATCACGATGGCCAGCAGGGAGCCACTCCATTGCGGAACATCAAGAGCAGCTCGTCCAGCTCCCAGAAACACAACTCCAGCAAGGAAATGGCAGAAGGGAAATAAACAAGAGCAAGAAGCTCAGATTGAAGCCAGGTGTGGTGCAACATGGTGGCAGGGAGATAGGAAATCTAATTGTAATTTGTGCTGTGCCACAGCCCACTTCTGAGGGTATCGGCCCCTTCTCTTTCATCACTCTTCTGTGTATCAAAGAGATTTCTAAGATGGTGAGAAATCAGAACGAAGGAAAATGATCTAAAGTTGCCCTGGAGCTGAAGCTTTCCAGTGTCTGCTAAGGTTTCTGTGGTTCTGGAACCACTTTCTTCAATTATTTACAGGCAGATGGGTCAGATTGAGCCACAAAAAAGAGAAGGCAGAGACAGCATCAAATTTACTCCCCATAATAACAGGGAATGATCACTCTACTCACTTATTAGTACTAGTACTTGTTTTATCGATTTCTCTTTGGCCTGGTGCGGTGGCCTAGTGGCCAAAGTCCTCGCATTGGATGTTCCCGGATCCCATATGGGCACCGGCTCTAATCCCAGCAGCCATGCTTCCCATCCAGCTCCCTGCTTGTGGCCTGAGAAAGCAGTTCAGGACGGCCCAAATCCTTGGGACCCTGCACCAGCATGGGAGACCTGGAAGAGCTCCTGGCTTAGGATCTTGTGGAAGGAATCACTGGATGGAAGATCTCCTCTCTGTCTCTCTTCTTCTCTGTAAATATCTTTCTGACTTTCCAATAAAAATAAGCACATCTTTAAAAATCTCTCTCTACACACACACACACATATATAATACATTTCTTAGGATTTTCTGTGTAAACAATTATGTCATATTATTTCCTAGGGATATGTTTGGATATTTCTTATCACTTTTTTTTTTTTTATTGGAAAGGTGGATATACAGAGAGGAGAGACAGAGAGGAAGATCCTCCATTCGATGACTCAATCCCCAAGTGAGTGCAATGGCCGATGCTATGCCAGTCCGAAGCCAGGAGCCTCTTCCTAGTCTCCCACGTGGGTGCAGGGCCCCAAAGCTTTGGGCTGTCCTCGACTGCCTTCCCGGGCCACAGGCAGGGAGCTGGAAGGGAAGCGGGGCTGCTGGGATTAGAACCAGTGTCCACATGGGATTCTGGGCGTGCAAGGCGAGGACCTTAACCACTTGCGCCACCGCGCCGGGCCCTGTTTGGATATTTCTTTCCCATGTTATCTTTTCTTAGTGTGAAGACAACAATGCTCACATCATTCCTAGTTTAAAGGGCAGAAAATTCAGTTATCAGTACCCATAGGATTGATTAGTGTTTTCTGCTAGAAACCTTTCTCAAATTGAATAATTTCTCCATTATTTAGAGTTTAAAAAAATTGTGGCGTCCAGTGCTCACTGTGCTCAAAAAAGTATGCGTGCCACACACATACAGAATATGCATACATTTATGCAAAAGTATTTTTGGAGACATTTATTTTTATTTGCAAAGACAGATTTGCAGATAGAAGAAGAGACAGGAAGAATTATCTTCCATCTGCTGGTTTATTCCTCAAATGGCTGCAATGCCTGCGTTAAAAAACTCCAGGAACCAGGACTTTCTTCCAGGTCTCCCAGGCAGGTACAGGTTCCCAGGTTTTTTTTTTTTTTTTTTTTTGCCATCCTCTGTTGCTTCCCCAGGTCCACTTACAGGGAGCTAGAGGGAAATTGGAGGAGCCAGGAATAAATCGACACCTATATGGGAAGCCGGGGCTGAACGCCTGTTGAGCCACCATGCTGGCCCCAATTATGCAGCATTTACTTACACATGTACAGTCATGGCGTAAAGGTTACAGTCATCATGTACCAAATACCTTGTGTCACTGACACTCAAACAACTTCATAGCTGAACATGTAATTCTTACAACCGCAGCAGATCATAGAAATTAATGAAATAAGTCAAGGTTACACAGACTATATGCAACAGAGCTGCAAATTCAACCCCAGGTTCTCTGCCTTCGTAGATGACATGTCACCCATGTGTTACATTGTCATCTCTGGTAGTTGTGATAATTGTGATAGCAGAAACATATTTGAGCAAAAGTCAGCACTGAACATGTGATCAGCAGTGCACAGATGCATGCGGTGGCTGTTATGAAAACGTATATAGCAGATGCCACAAGTGCCCATAGTAGAGCAAAAAAAATCTGCATGGGTAATTCATGATTTAGTCTTTCATTTGTTCTTTGACATTTTTGTAGTTGATTCTAGAATTTTTGGCTTTTCAAACAAGTATGACTTCAGCTGGGTTTCAATCCCTACTCTGGTTATTTTCAGCATCTGATAGAAGGTCTGGCCAGAGTGATTGTGTGGGCAAGATTCGTATTTCCTTAGACAGAGGCTCATACAAGATAACTGAACTTGCCTATATTAAATTGAAAGAGCTTAGAATGATTTTCATTTGACTCTTTCCCATCTGCATTGCAGGAAGGCACTGATGTTTTTATCGTCTTCAAGGAGTTTTGTTCTACTAATAAAAATAAATAAAGAAATAAATACATTTAAAAGTTGTTAATAAATAAGCTCAGAATTAAAATGAGCTGAAGTTGTAGAGTCAGGTGTCATCTGATTTTCTTTTGTTTTGTTTTGTTTTTTTTGTAAGCTGAAGCCCTAACAAAATACATTGCACTTTGCTATTCTATTTTTAAGACACTTTTATGCATGCAGAGGACTTTATGAAGGTCTTATACACTACAAAGTGCCACGTTCGTTTGAGTTACTGTAGCACAAACGCCAAGGACTCTTGTTAGACTGTGGCATCTGATTCTAATTATCTGAAATGTAGCATTTCAAACCAAAGCTGTGAGACCCACACTGCTGATGAGTATAGCCCCTCTAAACTCAAGAATGAAAATATTAGAATGACAAAACACAAATGTTGGATCCAGTTTTCTAGCTATCTCTTGTGATTTTTACCTTTTTAAAAGGTTTATTTCATTCATATGAAAGTCAGAGTGACATGGCGGGAGGAGGGGACAGAGTTTTCCCAACCACTCCTTCACACATTGCCAGGACAAAGCCAGAAGCGAAGAACTCCTGCTGGGGCTTCCACCTGGGTGACAACCCAACTTCTTAGAAGATCCTTTGCTGTCTTCCCAGGAACAGTAACAGGGAGTTGGGTCGGAGGTGGAGCAGCTCGGGCTTGAAATGTTGTTCTGACATGAGACACCACGTTCTACACACTCTTAATACACTCTGCCACAGCACAAGTTCTCTTGCTTTTGTCCATGAAGCATGTAGGATATAAAGAAAATTTATATAGCAGAGGGTTAAGCTTAAGTCTGCAAAGCAGGTAATAGGTGTTCAAAACAGCAGTACTATGTCTCAGGACGCAGTTTGTAAATACTCAGCTGATCCACAACTTTGTCACATTCTTTGAATGTTTCTTTCCTACCTATAGTTAGGACTACTTTTCTTTTTTCTAATTACATCTTACACTTTCGTGAAATGTAATAAAAGTAAAAGTAACTAGAAAATGAAGATTGTAAAGGCCAATTTGATGGACAATTAGCTAATCTCCCCCCTGCAAGTATCAGCACTGCATTCCGGCACCAGTCCAGCTCCCTACCTCTGGCTTGGGAAAGCAGCAGAGGATGGGGCAAAGCCTTGCGACCTTACCCACATGAGAGACTCACAAGAAGCTCCTGGCTTCAGATCAGCCCTTGCGGACAATTGAGGTGTGAACCAGTGGTCTTTGACATAGAAATAAAAAAGAAAGAAATGACCACAAAAGAAGTATAAAACATAATAAAACATAAGCCGTATTTCGGATTCAAGTGACATAAGATTTTTACAAATTTATATAAGGTTTTCAATTGTAGAATTCAATTTCCTCTTTTTAAAAGATTTATTTTATTTTTATTGGGAAACCAGATCTACAGAGAGGAGAGACAGAAAGAGCTTCTACCCACTAGTTTATTCTCCATGCATCCGCAAGAGCAGAGCTGAGTCAATGTAATTCCAGGAACCGGGAGTTTCTTCCCGGTCTCCAATGCAGCTGCAGGGTCCCAAGGGTTTGGGCAGTCCCTCACCGCTTTCCCAGGCCACAAACTGGGACATTAGACACCATGTTACACACACCTTTGTGCTCATACACAGGGAGTTGGATGGAAAGTAAACCACCCAAGACATGAAACAGTGCTCTTATGGCTTTCCAGGCATGCAAGGGGAGGGTTTGGCCACTAGTCCATGTGCAAGGCCCACTAGCACTCAGATTCTATGATTATCTTCCTGTAGACTTTCCCAGTTACACAGAACCTCTGTGAACTGTGTGGATCTTGAGATGGACAATTCAGTAGGATAGGTTATTAAGTACACACATCACACACTCAGTAAGAGTCCTGACTGTTCACCAACAAGTATAGGTCTGTTATTTAGGTAATATTGAAATGTTGTGTTTATATTCTGCCTTGTTTTTTTGTTTTTGTTTTACATTTATTTATTTGCATTGGAAAGGCAACTTTTGTTTCTATTACTCCAATTTGAAAGTTTTGGCCTTTGTTTTAAAAATTCATCAAATACACTTCACTGCTACTAAATTGAAAAGGACAAAGGCTAACCATGCTGGCATGAGGTGACTACAGTAAAAATTAACCAGTGTGCTGGAAAAGTTTGATGGCTTCAGTAGATGATTGTCATGAGCTGGGAAGATTGTCCTTTTTCACTCATGCTTTGAGATAAGCATGCCTAAGTAGCAAGAGAAGTGGAATGTGATGATTTCAATGACTGAGATTTCTGAAATCTCTCTAAAGGAATAACCAGGATCATTGTCTTATGTACTGGGAGAGTGAGTGAGAAAGGGTATAACTAGTGAAATATGAATGAATGAATGAATGGTAAGAAAGCTTGTTAATGCAAAGTGTGGGGAGATATTAATATATAACCATTGATGGTAAAACTGCATATGGCAAGATTCATAGAGTAAGCAATGAGATTGGATGGGACATCTCATACAGTATAGATATCATGGCTCAAAATCATGAACAGAAACAAGAAAACAGTGAAAAAGAGAGTTTCAAAACACACAGTTCTGCAGCAGTCAACTTAAACTACTTTGAACAGAAAAAGTGTTACATAACTGCTCGTAACAGTGTTTGCCAGCATGGAGTCTGCCCCATTCCACGGACCTGCTTGCAAAGCTTTGTTACCCCACCATGTTTTCCTTGGCTATAAGAAAATCTGGAAGTATTTGAGTTCTTAATATATGCAATTACAGTATGATTGGCTCTTTTAACATGGATTATGTGCCACGGTAATACAGTATGGTAACAGAGAAAATATTCTTTCTTTCTGTTACACAGTTTTGACTTAGAGGGACCTTTGGGATGTATTGGTGTTTATGTTTCTATATTCCTTTCTGTAATTTTCTGAGAAAGTGAGTTTGTTTAATTTAAGTGTCTTAATTACAGATTAAGACTTGAAATCTTTATTTAGTAGTGCAAAGCAAATGTTCCAGATAATTTCCAGTACACAGCAATAAAGAAATCATCAAAACCTGTGGCCACGCTTTGGATTTTTTATCTTATTTCAAAATATATTTTGATTCAAATTCCTTAACTTTTCTGAGATCTCGCCTGTACACTTAGTGGAACTCTGTTAGTAGTTACTGAGCAATATTTTTGCTATTGTGTATCTCCTGCTACATTTGTGAGACAGGTAATGGGATTTGCAATTTCTCCTTCCTCTTTTCTCTTTGGCCAGATAATTGATGATAGACAGCCAAGACATGGAATACGAATTTAGGAGAATCAATTTTCCCTAAAAGTTAGCCTCACTGGCATCTAGTTGAGGGTTTTATGAAATGGAAATTCGAGATCGAAAAACACTTTGCAGCAAGAGCTATATGCCATTTATCTGTACAAAATTAAATGTGACTCTGTGTAGTGTGTCATTGTAATGAATGAATGCCAAGGCTTAAAGTATTAGAGTTGTACAAATTCTTGTTCTACTATATACCAGACATGAGACTTTAGGAATGTAATTTAAACTCCAAACTTTAATTGGTTTCATTTTCAACAGTTACAATGAATGATCTGGAACTCATGCAGTTTCTTGAGCATAAAATAACACAAGCTCAATGCTTAGAACACAACCTGGTACAGCACAAACACTAAATAAATCACAATCATAATTTCTGAATGTATATTTCAATAGTGTAATGTTTAGAGAAAATCTAGAGAACTATTTTGAGGGAGGTGGCCTTGATTCTGCTCTATTTGGAAATGGTCTCTGACAGATCAAGAGATTTACCACACCATGTTAATACCAAAGTTTAGACCAAACCTAGATCTTCTCTCTACCCTTGATAACTTTGCAAATAGCACTTAACTGTTGCAGATCTTAGCTGGGTACCTGTGGCAATCAGCAATATCTTTGGACCTGAATATTGTCTATTGCTTTCACACTGATTGCATTGTTTGTGTCCTAGTGGTAGGAGTGAATGCTTCTTAATTCTTCGTTATCATGGCTGTAGATTTGAAGAGATGACGTCGATTTTAGCTATTCCACATACAAGGTGTATTATCTAAAAGTATCAGTTTCACTTCTATTCTGCCAAGTCAATGTGGTAATTTATCTATTGAATTTTTAACATCTTTAAAGTCTGAAAAATACGAGGATCATTGGCATGATGACATTTTGAAAGTTAATACACATGATTGTGTTCTACATTGCACAGTCATCCCTCTTACTTTTTCTCGCCCAGTGGGGATTACCAAGTTAAGTAAACAGACAAACCAAAACAGAATTCAATTAAAAAAAATTCCCTGGAGGAACCTACTAGTTCCAACCAATTATATTTGCATAATATTCTCCTGAAACTAAGTTGCTGGTATCAACTAGAGTTCAGCCCAAACAACACAGGAAGGCTATGTAGCATCACAGGGCCTAGTTACTGAACCATACATCAAGAGAAGCTTTAAACTTGAGATTCAAGAAGTTAGACTAGAAGTCAGAGGGCATGTGGTTTCCAGTGATCAGAAATTATCTCTGTGAATATAGCAACATTTCTTCAATCAAGACGAGGCTATGGCAATCCCGATAGCTCAAGACAGAAAACAGAACATGTGACGAATGTTCTCCCTGAGCGGGGTATGTTTGGCAAACCTGTCACTGCTTGATGATTTCTCTGCTCTGGATCCGTTCATAGCTGTCAATCTAAACTAATATAAAATTATTTATATGGCAGCACTTGACAATGGAATAAAAACTATTTAGCTGATAAACAGCTAGATCCTGGAACCTGATAAATTATCTCCTCAAATAGCTATATGTTTAAAAGAAGACTTATAAAAATGCATGTGTCAAATCCGTGTTTTGCAAGGTTAAAATGAGATAAAGGACATGAAATTTTATAAATGCTGACTATCATCAATGTGTGGGAGAAAATAAACCAATCCAAACAAATGAAGGTTTCAGAAGTCAACATTAAAACAGCGAGTCACACAGTGTACTGAAAATTGCACATAAAACAAGTGCAAAATGTTCTTGTATGAGAAAGCCAGGGAATCTCATATGAAATCTCTAAATGGTGCAGTAATCCCCTCTTTACAATAAATTTATCCTGAGAAAAAAACACTATATTGTGAAATGCATTCATTTTGTTTTTAATTTGTCCAAGATGAGAAATTGACAAGAATTTAAAACAGAACATTAGGTGGAAGAAAAATAATGGCCCTTGCTCACCAATAAACACAGAACCAGTTTGAAACTCTTGCTGAAACACTGATGAAACTATCCTATCATCTGTGAATGACTGTGGTTTTTATTTTAGACTATGCATACCAACAGAATTCTTTAGAGTTTAAGAAATAGCAATGTTTTGTGTTTTGTTGAGAGAAGTTCCATTACTTTAATACCGAGTATTGAAGCAAAAGTAGTCTTTGTGAGAAAATATTTGCTTGCTCAAACCATATATCCAACAGCTTGCATTTGGGGAATCTAATCTACATTACCCAGAACACTATCCCATCAATTTATGAATTAAAAGAATTATCTTAGTAGTGTATAGCTAATATTGTGGAAATTCTGTATCTGTGCAACTTTTGAATATTTTCTAGTATCATCGCTTATCTTTCAATTTATGAATTGTGTCTTTGGCAGCTTAGGGAAAGTAAAAACCTCATGTATGATGGAAGAAAATATTATATCATGTTCGTAAAAATTACAGTGATTGCTTCTAAGTATGAGATTCCTATAAATGTTAAAAAGAACACATGAGGCAAATCCTTGAAGACATCGTTGTATAGGCATACATGGAAGTCAATTAATTCCTGGGATGTTCAGGAATATAGGCCAATATGCTTTACTTAGATTTTTAGTGTACAGATCAACACTTTCTGTATTTGACAAGATATCAAAAAGAACAGATAAATGTAAAGATACAATTAGATATAGGCTTGATATCTGAAAATGAAATGCATGTCTATTACATAATATTTTGGTTAAAGGACTCTATACACAAAAGCTGGCATGAATTATTATAACTGAGGGTCTGGTGGTATGGCATAATGGGTAGAACTGTCTACTGCAATGCAAGCATTCCCTAGAGGCACTTACTTGTGCCCTGGCTGCTCCCTGCTGATGGCCTGTGCAAACGAGAACCAGTCAAAGCACTTGGGCCCTTACCAGCCATGTGGGAGACACAGATGAAGCCCCTGGCTCCTGGCTCTGGCCTGGCTCTCCTTTTCTCTCTATGATTGTGGTTTTCAGATAGACAGAGAGGCACATAGAAAGAATGAATCTTCAATGAAAATTCTAATGGAGCTGAAAAATAACTATTACTATTGACATGGTAGCTACAGTCTTTATGATGTCCCAGACAACACATTACTCACATGTTTGTGAAGATGCTAGTATAGACACACTTTGTGCTGCCAAGCAAAGGAAAACATCATACCTAATACTGATAATAAATACAAAGCTTACAGGTTTATACATTTGATACACTATGTGTTTAATTTTTGAGTATACCCTTTCTATGTATTAAAAAAAAAAAAGTTTTGTAAGTCAGTGCTGTGACAAAGTAGGTAAAGCCACTGTTGGAAACATCAGTAGCTACACTAGATTTTCTGTTTACAATTTTATTAAATAAATAAGAGCAAAGGCCAATACTATTTAAATTTTATGAAGTATATACTTCTTTGTTCTAGTCAATGGTATATAATAGTTTTATTATCTTATATGTAGAATGAAGGTATTTCTAAATATCCTAAATCAAATGGCTTCTGAACAATATTCTCTGGGTATTGATATATCTTCTCATGTTCTTTATTATTCTGTATTGAAAGGACTGTGATTCTGTGATCTTCCTTTTTCCATTTACTTGCCTTGCATGTTGTACATTTGTTTATGGTCTGTATGAGTAGTTATGTTTAAAACAAAATAAAACACATTTTAAAAAATTTAACAGCTATTAAAAGGTGCTTTCTTGAGTATATAATTATCTGACTAGTATACACTAATTTTTAGCAAATTATATTACCATGAATATCTTGGTATACAATAATTCATCAAGAATTTCATTTTCCCCCTTTAATACTTACTCTCAAAATATTTCAACATACTTCGTCACTTTTCTCACACACCATTTCTTCTAATATTCTCATATATGTCACCATACATGAGAAGAAAAAAGATATTTGAAAAGAAAATGGAGCACTTTTTTTTCCACCAGATTTAACAATATCTGGCATTGTAACAGGTTTCTACAGATTTTTATTAGAAAAATAAAATAAAAGTAATCTTTATTAATGTTCAATGTAATGCAACCAGGAAAAAGATTCTGTATCATATTTCAATCCTTTGTAAACATTGTTGCAAATGTTACCACGTGTAGAGATAGAGTATCCATAATTTATAAGTATGATCATTTTTGAGCCCAAATTTTATGGAAAGACTAATAATCTGCATTTGTACAGCTGATTTAAATTTCTTATGCAACTTCAACCTCCTGTTTCCTTCCTTGAGGTCATCCTATTTGGCACTTAGGATTGTTTATCTACTTCTTACGTTAACACTGAGACTCAGAAAATTTCATTGATTTGGCCAGGATTGTGCCACTAAGACCACCATCATTTACAATTATATTGCCCTGCTGAGAGTTGGGAAGACAGTTTTGAATTTAAATTATTTCTTCAACACTATGGTTTGCGATGGTGAACCAACTGTTGCTTTAATGTCACATTATGACATTTTTTATAATGCTGTCGACAACGCTGTTTCATGTAAAGATTTTTTAAATAATTTACCGGAATATTTTAATGTAACCTCATCAACTGCCACCTTATTGACAACATAAGTGGGTCCTTTTCAACCTTGCTGCTGGATTCTTAATTAATGTTTCTACTTTTTTTCCAGATATCTTCTGTTCCTGTTGGTTTTGAGATGTTCTTGTCACATAATCATGCTGTCACAACCATATTAAACGTTGAGTTTCCCTCCAAGGCTACATTTTTTCATCTGTACTCTTCCTCTGAATTGTCTAGCCGCATTTATGTGCTGTCACCCACATATTGCTGTTGTCTTTATTTGGCTAATCCATTTCCCTAAAGAGTATAAGTCTAAGATTTAATACAGAATACCTGTGAATGTGATCTTTTTGGACACATGGGTTTTGCAAATGCAATTCAATTAAATATCTTGAGATGAGATCATCCTGTTGTTTAGGGTTAGCTATAAATACAATGACTAATATCCTAAGAAAAAGAGGAGAAAATACACAAAGACTCAAAGAAGGCAAAGGGAAGATGTATGAGAGATCAGGATCATGTGTCTAGAAAACAAAGACTGTCAAGGATTACACATCATCACCTGAGTTTAGGAGAGAGGTTTGGAACAAATTCTGCCTTATTACCTTCGGAGAGAACCAACACTTCAGACACCTTTATTTTAGGCAGCTATCTCCCAGAACATTGCAACAAAGAATTTATTATGCATTACGTCATGCAGACTGTGATAATCTGTTGTGGCATTTTAGGAGCTAATATATGCTTTAGCAAACCAACCTCCCTAAATGTTGGCAATGCAAATTTTAGTTTTGCCACAGTGCGTTTTCCAAATCAAGTACCAAAGTCTACCCTATTCCCTATGTCAGAAAATGGCAAAAACATCCACAGCCAAAGTAGTATTCTACTTCTAGGATAATCATTACTGGATATATAAAGAATACATATCTGTAAACCTAATTGGTCTTCATAATTCCCAATATCCATTTAGCATATTTATCTTTACTTGACACAAAACTCATGCTCCACAAAAAATGATTATAAATTGTGAGATTTCTCTGGTCACTTCTTTTGGAATGTTTCAATATCCTGGTGAACCACGAATACGTTTGCTTTTCCAACTCCAAATTAAGCAAGAGCAAGATTGATCTTTTCATCATCTTAGTTCAGTGGATATATCCTTACTTATCAAAAATATTGAGTGAATCCCAGCTACTATTCTTAAAAATAATAATTTCAGGGCCTGGTGTAATGGCTCAATGACTTAAATCCTCACATTGCAAACACTAGGATCTCATATGGGCACCCATTCACTTCCTAGTTGGTCCAGTTTCCATCCAGCTCCTTGCTTGCAGCCTGGGAAAGCAGTAGAGGTTGTCCCCAAAGCCTTGCAACCCTGGACTTGTATGGGAGTCGCAGAGGAACATACTAGCCCCTAGATTTGGATTGGCTAAGCTCCAGCCATTGCAGTCACTAGAGGAGTGAGCCAGCCAGTGATTTTTCTCTCTCTTGCTTCTCTCTATAAATCTGATGTCCCAATCCAACAAAGTAAATCTTATTAAAAATCCATTTTTGGGCCCGGCGCGGTGACACAGTGGTTAAAGGTCCTCGCTTTGCACGCCCGGGATCCCATATGGGCGCCGGTTCTAATCCCGGCAGCCCCGCTTCCCTTCCAGCTCCCTGCCTGTGGCCCAGGAAAGCAGTTGAGGATGGCCCAAAGCTTTGGGACCCTGCACCAGCGTGGGAGACCCAGAAGAGGCTCCTGGCTTCTGATCGGCATAGCATCGGCCGTTGTGCTCACTTGGGGAGTGAATCATGGGATGGAAGATCCTCCTCTCTGTCTCTCCTCTCTGTATATCTGCCTTTCCAATAAAAAAATAATAAAAATAAATCTTTAGAGAAAAAAAAAAGACTTCCTTCTATCCCCCGACTAACAGAAGCTCAAGTATTTCAAGTTTTCTTAGAACTGTTTTTCTTCATTTCACAGATGCATTTATACAATTATACACTTATTTATACAACAGATGGATCAATCTCAAGATACCTCTGGGAAGAGTAGACTATTTTCAATTCTGTCCTCATTATATTGTAAAGTGATGGATTGACGAAAGTGGAAGCTAAGTAATTGTTGAATGTAAAATGTCTGATGTAGATATACAAATATAAGTATAGCAATGTTCAATTAGCAAGATTTGATCTACAGGAATTTTTAGAAATATCAATTCTGTTTTAGAGCTGAAAATTAAGAAGTTGTTTCAGACATGGTAACACGGTATAAGCCAGAAAATGGGTCATACGTCACAGATCATCACCTCTGTGTTTCTCGAATCAATCTGTTTTGCTGAATGAAGTGTTTTGGGGAAAATGAGCCTTTTGATAGAAACACTAACTTTAAATTCACTAATTTTAATTCTGCAGCGGTCTTGAAATTTTCTCAGTTACAGTCATTATTAACTCACACATTTGCATTTTGTTGCATTTTGTTCCCCTTCTAGGACTTCTTTTTCTTTTAAAAAACCAACTCTTGGACAAAACACATTGGATCAATTGGCTAATCCTTCCCTTGCAGCTTGAGGATTCCACATCTGGTTCCTGTCCCAGAGGCTCTACTTTTCATCCAGCTCGCTGCTTGTTGCTTGGGAAATCTGTAGAGCACAGCTCAAAGCCTTAGTACCCTAGACTTGCGTGGGAGACCAGGAAGAAGCTCCTGGCTCTTGACTTCAGATCAGCTGAGCTCTGGCTATTGCAGCTATTTGGGGAGTAAACCAGCAGATGGAAGATATTTCTCTTTCCACTCTGTAAATCTTCCTTAAATAAATCTTTAGAAACATCTAACTCTTCATGTATCTCTTTCATGTTGCTTAGCATAATTGGAGTAAAAACATAGCTATATTCTTTATTTCTTGAATGTATGACCTCAAGTTACAAACAAGAAGTCAGTAGTTTCAAAGAATGCCTCCAGTTAACTCATCCACTTCTCAGTGTTGACTGAAAGTCCACTAGTTCACTGATAAAACAGAAACAATCATGTGTGAACTATCTGCTGACAGTAAACCTATCCATGACTATTCATCTGAGGCAAATCATTTTTTCTTCCTCCCTCCTTATTATAATGAATGAGTACTACATTGCAATCTAAGGACAGTCCTCACACTGTACACCTTTCTCATATGTTCACCAGTGCAACAATATAATTGTGAAAGTCTTTATTTCCTTTACTATTTCATCAATTTGAATACATTCCATATGCACATCTACTGGTACATGTTTTATCAAAATAAAGCAGAACGCCTAAGCGCTTGGGTTCATGATGCTTTTGAAAAGGTATGATCAGCATGTGTTGTTCAGAAAATCTTTTCAAAACTTGTTTCACATCCTGATGTCTTCTCTCACCTTTCCTCTTGAACCCACTCTTTCCTGGCATTTTTTCATACAGCTCCCCAGGAATCACAAGAGCCTTGCTTTGACCAATTCAAACAACAATCAGTCCTTGTGCACTTCCCAGTAACATTTTACACAGTGAACACCCTCTTCAAACATTTCCTTAATTAGTTGCTAGAACACAGAATTTGCATACATGACTCCCTATCAATATATTACCTGGTCTTACTTCTTTATCCTGAATGTTAAACATAAGATGCCCCAAGATTCAGTATTGGGCATCACCTATACTTTGTAATTCAGTGCCATAATTTTTATCTAATTCCACAGTTGAAAAAGACATCTGTAGCTCAACATACAGCTCTTACTGCATACATTTGCTCAAAATTGACTGTGCACTCACCACCTGATACAACTACCTTAGATTTTCAGGGCATATTATGTTTAAAACAGAGATCTTGATCTTGGTGCACATTTTTTTTTTCATTCTGAGGCCTTATTTTCATGTTGAATGATACAACATACTCATCTATCTGGATCAAGAAAGGTGGTGCCATATAATTTTTTTTCCATTCTTTTATAGTATCATGACCATGTAAAATCAACTCAATTTTATTTTAAAAATGTATTCTGAATTATTTTCTACATTAATAAAACACATATTTATCTACAATTCACAATGGAATGAAAGCCAATGAATTAGCCCCCCATCTTCAGTTTTTTTCTACTTAGTTAATAACTGTCAAGAGAGTCAGGGTGAACTGTAAAATGTATGCTATTTCCTTCTGTTCTTCTCTTTAAAACTCTGACATGGGTTTCCAAACACTTCTTTAAATTGCATATCAACATAATTTATGTATGTGTGTGTGTATGATATAACAGCCATGGAAATATTATATCACGTTGATGAATTGTCTAAATGATACACAGCACAAATGGCTGAGAATATATATTATTCTACATTGCATCTTAGCTTTATGGATAACCAACAGGTTTCCAGAAGGCAATGTTGATATAGGCACTTGCAATGGGAATAAAAATCTTTGGGAGATAAAAGGAGAAGCACTGATAAATAATGATTGCTTATGCTGTGAGCACTGAGAGTGTGGGAGGCTTTGAACCCTGAAGTAGGGCATCAAGATCAAGGTAACCTCTGGCTAGAAAAGTTAGCAAGAGTGCAGAGAGAAGCTGCTGTTTAAGAGAGAAGATGCAACAAAAAGCTTGAATAGGTAAAGCACCATGGGCCAAGAAAGAGATGACAGAGAAAACAGAAGTGTCAGCCAGACTATCAGAAAATGACATTTATATTGGAGCCATCAAGAAATATAATCGACATACAAGAGTGCTTACAAAATATTAAATTAAAAAAAAGCAAAATATAATTGATCAAGATACAAAATCTTGTATGCATAAGGCAGAGATGAAGGAGTTGGTGTTTTGCACAGTGGTTAAGCTGCCTCAACGGACACCCACAGCTGATATTGAACGCATGCTTCAAATGCTGGTATTTCTACTCCTGAGCTAGCCTGCTGCTAATGCACACCATGGTGGCAGCAGTTATTGGCTCCACTACCTGGGTTGCTGCTGGCCACACTGACAAACTGCAAATAGTTGTAAGCTCTTGGTTTTATCATGCCAGGGTTAACTATGCTAGGCATTTAGGGAGTGAACCAGCAGATGAAGATCACTCTGTTTCTCTATCTCTCTGCTGTTCAAATAAAATGCAAAGTAAACAAATAAACATTCAGTGAAGCAAAAAAAAAAAAGTTATTATACCATGTTTTCCTATGCATGCCTCCAGTGTCATCACCTATCCTTTTGACCTGTGTGCTTTCTTGCTGTTCCAGAAAGAACTCCTCCTAGCTTTAACACTTTTTACTAGGCTTTTCTTCACACGTCTCTCTCCCTTAGTATCTTCCCTGATTCTTGATTTTCTCATTAATTGGAATACCCTTTCTATTTTCATTTGCCTTGTTAGCATGTAGTTGTGTTACTTGCTATTAACAACTTCCTTTCTGAAAATAAGTTAAGTGTTGGAGAAACTTATGTGTCCATAATCTCATCTTCTTTGGAATAATCACATAAAATCCTTCCTCGAATACTGCATGCCCTCTACAAATATTCATTGACTGAGTTAGTCAATGAATCTTGTCACGATGCACTCACGTTCCTACAGTGAGAAGAATCCCACAGGTATGCACAGAGTAAACCAAACTCATCAGAACATGTTTTATTCTTAGATTCTTACCATGTATTAAGTTTGTACAGATTTCCTTTAACTTCTTAGGGTTTTAAGCTGTAGATTACAACCTAAACAGGAATTTACAAAATCACTTTTCTGACTGTGACCAACATCGTGAAAGATGAAACAGAACTGAAAATTCTATGGTCTGTTACCCATATTTTTATGTCTCAAAAGAGGTTTTGTTTTTTATGTTAAAATGTAGTATTATATCTGTGTGTGCAATAGTAAAATGAAAGTAATTGTTTTACTATAGTTTTTAATTGAAGTTTCAGCCACATTCCAATTTACATTCTATTCCAGCTCACAGCATTTGCCTTCTCCAACTTTGCAGTGAATCTAGCTAACACAGAGAGATTCAGTCTTTAGACTGCCATGTGGAGGTAAAGAGCAGAAATTTCAGTGCTGAAGTTCTCCGACTTGTTTTTCTTGTGCCCCAAAACAAAAACCTTTACAGTTCAAGTGAACTTACCCTGAATTTCCTGTGTACAACACTTCTTTTTGTTCCCATATCATCTTTAAAGTTCACCCTTTACTGGGCCCGGCAGGGTGGCAAGGTGGTTAAGGTCCTCACCTTGCACGCCCAGGATCCCATATGGGTGCCGGTTCTATCCCAGCAGCCCCGCTTCGCTTCCAGCTCCCTGCCTGTGGCCTAGGAAAGCAGTCGAGGACGGCCCATAGCTTTTGGACTCTGCACCCGCATGGGAGACCTGCAAGAGTCTCCTGGCATCGGATTGGCATAGCATCCGCCGTTGTGCTCACTTGGGGAGTGAATCATGGGACGGAAGATCTTCCTCTCTGTCTCTCCTCTCTGTATATCCGCCTTTCCAATAAAAAAAAAAAATAAAAATAAATCTTTTTTAAAAAAAGTTCACCCTTTACTTCATCTGAAAAGGAGAAAATCACATAAATTTATGTCATGCAAGTTTTACATGATATGGGAACCTTTGCAAATCAGGATTAAAAAAATAACAGGGAAATTTGCATATTTCATGATAACTTTTTATAATTAGCAGATGATCACAGAAAAGTATGATTGAACAAAGGGCATGTAAGCTGAAGGTTATAAACTAGGTGAAACTTAGAAAGACATGGCTCTTCAACTTACTCTTTCTTCTTGGTATAAAGAGGGTATCTCTCACATAAGTGTTTTTACCTGCCTCAAGGTAAGATCAGGAAATTCATTTTAAGTCTTTGTCACTTGCTTTTGGGAAAAACAAGAGGAGCATGTCAGGGAGCCCTCCCTACTTCTGTGACTTTCCCGTATCGCTTGAACTTAAAATCATCAATATGTACAGGTTTCATATTTAGAAGTAGGAAATGCTGAGCCATTTCAATATATCATTTTATTTAAGCTGATAATTTTTAAGAATTGCTTTCTTATTTATTTTTAAAGTCAGAGTTTCAGGGAGAAATGGAGAAGGAGAGAAGGAGTGAGAGGAAGAGAGCGAGAGGGTAACTGAAGGGTGAAGGAGAGGGAAAGGAAGAAGAAGAGAAAAGGGAAAGAGAGAAATTGATGTTTTGACTTATTGGTTCATTCCCCCAGATGTCTGCAATCTGGACCAGGTCAAAGACGTACTTCATATAGCTCTGCCACATGGTGGTATGGGCCTAAACACTTGAGACATCTGTTGCTGCTTGCGTAGGCCATTAACAAACAGCTGTACATGAGTAGGACAGCTAGGACTCAAATCAGTGTCCATGTAGGTTGGTTGGTTGCATCAACTTTACCCCCTGTGACACAATGTTCACTTTCAAGTTACCATTTTTTAATGTTTTTTTTCTTATTTATGTAATATAGAGTTGAAAATGTAATGGAAATGAGTAAACATTCACATGTTAAAATTTTGTGTATAGTCCTTGTGTATAGTATTGAGGAACTATGGATTTTCCAGTGACCGCTCTTGTGGCATGTAAGAGAAATCACTCCTGATGCAAGTCAAGAGGAGTCTTCCCTGACCAAGCTTCACAACAGCAACTGCCACTGAAATCCAGGAGACACTGTGCCTGGTGGCCAAAGTCAGGGTTTGTAAGGTCTCATCTTCCAATAAGATTAAGAATTTCACAGTAAGAACAGTTTCATGGGTTCAATTAATTAAGTGGCAGGAGGCAGGAAGGGAGTTGCTGGAGCCCAAAGTTTCCATGTAGTTAATTAACCTACATAGCATAGTAGGAGGCAAGAAGGGCTGGGTGTGTAGAGCCTCTGGAGCCATTTCTGCACTGTCAGTTCACTTAAATGGCGGAACTGGAGGCTAGATGGATGGAATATAAGGAGCCTCCAGAGCTGGTTTTGCACATTCAATTAATTTGAATGGTGTGGGAGGAGGGAGAAAGGGGAAGTGCAGAAAATTAATTTTCACACTGTCTGTGTAGTTAATTAAATGGGAAAGCAGTGCTAACTATCAACAGGCTGCACCCTAGCATACCACTTGTATTCTCTATGTAGTGGAGATTTAAGTTTGAGATTACAAAATCAATTGAAAATTATCTGATTGTAAAACTGAAGGACAAATAAGATAGGCAAATAGAAAAAGGAAGAAAGGTGAGATTGGGGGAGAAAGGAAGGATTGGAAAATAAGTATCATTAGGCTCTTAAAACTACTTATATGAAGTCAATACATTTTGCACCCTTTATAAAAATAAAATAATTTAAAATTCAAGAATATGTTTTCAATAAACCATTCATAATATACACTGGTCTTCAGAAAAAAATATATATTTCTTTCTACTTTTAAAAGAAACTGAAGTTCTCTTTGTCACCTCTCCTCTCATCCTATTTGAGATTTGGCATGTTGACAACCAGGAATCAGCCTGTATATAGCTACATGATTTTATGTGATTTGTCCAGTCCAAAGCCTTTACAGAGAAGCACAAAAAGTCTCTTGCCGTTGTTATTTTTCTGTCGGAACTCTTCCAAAGAAAACAAGATTCCTCTATGTCTAAAATTTCAAATTTCCTTTTGAATTTTTTGTGTGTATGTATCTCAGAAATTAGACAAAATTGACTGCATCTGCACAATTCTTTCTCAGCCTCCTCAATAGTATCTTTTAGGTTCACCTCCAAATCTAATTCAAAAGCCAGAAGAACAAAACAAAGCCGGTCTACATGGCTTCCATTCCTGCAGGGAGAGTCCAAGGCAAGTTACTGTGTTGCCAACAATAGCACAAAACATTTCTCACATGAGAAGTAAAAAAATGCTAACATTCGTTAAAAGATAAGTGTATGCTAAGACCTCCATATTTACAACATAAATTAACCCTGCTTTATTTTAGCAACACAGCCTAACTCCCACGTGGAAGGTGTTTGGCCAGCCCTGGCCCAAGCTGTTGCAAGCATTTACAGAGTCAATGGAGAATGCTTATCACTCTCTCTTTCTGTCACTTTAACTTTCAAGTAATTGAAGTAAATTTCTTTAAATTAAAAAGTAAGAATTACAACTTGCTGCTTTCACAAAAGAAGCTTATCTTCTTTGGAGACTGTGAGTTCAACATCAAGATGTTGGGCCAGGCACAATAGTTCAGTGGATAAGTATTTATCTCTTATGCATGGGGATCCCATATGAGTGCTGGTTCATGTCCCAGCTGCCCCACTTGCCATCCAGCTCCCTGCTTGTGGCCTTGAAAAGCAGTAGAGGATGGCTCCAAAGCCTTGGGATCCTGTACCCACAGGGGAGACACAAAGGAGGATCCTGGCTCCTGACTCCTGGCTTCACATCTGCTCAGCTCTGACCACTGAGGCCACTTAGGGAGTGAACCGGTGGATGAAAAATTTTTTTCTCCGTCTCTCCTCTCTGTAAATCTGTCTTTTCAATAAAAATAAATAAATCTATTTTTTAAAAAGACAAAGATACTTACGAGTAATTTCTTCTAGGTCAGTGTTTTGTCACTGTGCCCTCACAGGGTCCCACTCTAGTGTATATGTGTAGGCTCGTCCTTCTTTTATTAAAATGCCAATCATAATGAATTAAGGCTGACCATATTATCTCATTTTACTTTAAACATATTCTCAAAAGTGTTATCTCCAGGGCCCGGCGCCGTGGCCTAGCCGGTAAGTCCTCGCCTTGAACCCGCCGGGATTCCATATGGGCGCCGGTTCTAATCCCGGTAGCTCCACTTCCCATTCAGCTCCCTGCTTGTGGCCTGGGAAAGCAGTCAAGGACAGTCCAAAAACTTGGGACTCTGTACCCACGTGGGAGACCTGGAGGAAAATTCCTGGATCCTGACTTCGGATCGGCATAGCATCAGCCGTTGTGCTCACTTGGGGAGTGAATCATCGGATGGAAGATCTTTCTCACTGTCTCTCCTCCTTTCTGTATATCTGACTTTCCAATAAAAATAAATCTTTAAAAACATTTTTTTAAAAGTGTTATCTCCAATTCAATGACATTAAGAGGCAATGGTATTGGGGATCAGGATTTTAACCTCTGATTTTTGGGGTAAACACACTCAGTTCATAATAGACCCTACAACAATTTCTGATGGAAACGAAGTCATAGAAATTTGCTCTTGAAGTCGCTGTAATCTCTAGTTCTCACTAAAGGAATGGACTGTTATTCTTAAGCCATGGAGTAATAGCTTCATGCAGGTCACCCAAGGCTTTTCCAGGAGCGTTTTTCTTCCCTCAGAGCCCTCTCCTATCACTAAGGCAGGGGCTGTCTCTTTCTTTCCTAAATAAATCATACTTTGAAAACTTAAAAAAAAAAAAAAACGGATTGAAAATGCAGAGCCAGGACATAATCCAGACCCAGGTTGTTCTGGCTCAATGCAGAAGCTGCCTGTCCCATCCATTGCCCTGCCATGTGAAAAGAGCATCTTTCAGCATTTGCCGCCATCTTCCGTGTGAGGACATAACAAGAAGACACTGGCTCAGAATCACAGTATCTCTCATCAAACACTGAATCTGCCAGTGCCTGCTTCTGAAAATTCCCAACCTCCAGTACTATCAGAAATTCGTTTATTTTCTTTGTAACTTAGTTACTTAATTATGCAATTAAACATAGCAGATAAAGCAGCAGAAATAAAATAACATGATATCATGCAGGGGCTTTGAGAATGGTATTTAGTGCACATGAGGTTTAATTTGCACACCTGTAAAAACAGGACAGAAATGCATCTCTCATACCATAGTTGTGACAACAAAATTATTATTAGCACAATTCGACATAGCTTTTTCATTCCTTAGCTCATGTTAATTTAATGCTATGCTTGTCAGAATTCTGGTTATTGGCAAAGGGAGGTATTCTGAGGAGCACTATTATACCACCCGACAATATACTGAAAAGGATAGTTCTAGAGTTTAGATATGGAACAGGCTAAAGCCAAAGTTCTGTGTCAGGTTCTTGGTATCTGTTTCAACACACCTTCTAGGTGATTCCAGGACGAAATGAATTCTGAAAAAGACAAATTTAGTATTTACATTCTTATAGTAGTATCCCACTCAATTCTTGCTTTCCACATTGATTTGATAAAAATAATTGATGAAAACACTGATAATTTATTCATATCCACAAAGCTATAATTCTAACAATTTTAGCTATTTTCCTTAAAATCATTATTTTGTTGGTATTAGTAAGCGTTAATTGACATTAAAGATGAAAGGAACACTTCTGGA